TTCAGAGTCTGTTCTGAACACTCTCATCCCGAGACATCTTGCCTGAGTGTCTTATTCCTCATGAGAGACCACCACAACCTTTCTGTTGAATATATAGGCTATAGATAAAGTTAACAACTTTGTGAAACATTTATTAATAAATATTCCTCTTCTGCAAGATTAAAAAAAATGTTATCTTGGAAATCTAGCCCAGCCTTCTGCTCAGTGCAGGAATTCATTTAATTTATTATATCCATTTCAAATTGTCCTATAAGCCCTTCACTGTGGAGGGCAGATTGTTCGTCTACTTAACATCTGTCCTCTTCCTCCTCGCCCTTCGTCTCCTCCATTATTTCTCCTTAGTCTTCTTTGTTGCAAGCTAAATACATCCAGCTCCTCTTCCTGCTCCTACTGGTCTTGATTTCCAGTCAATTATTACCTCATCAACTTCAGATTTAAGGTACTCCAGCTTCCGAAGGTTTTTTTTTTAAATCAAGAAATGGAAATAGTACTCCAAATACAAAGTTCAGTGGATCTATAACCTGTGATCTGGATGCAACACTTTGCTTAAAATAGCCTAATATTGCATTGGCCATTTTATCCACTGCATCAAACTATTTGCCTATGGTGAGCTGATGTCTGTAGATCTTCGTCAGAAGCACTGCACTCAAATCAGTAATTTCCAACGATGTGCTTGATCCTTAAGAAATAAATACAGAGTTAGATGCAGAACTATTATATGAGCATCATCTTGTTTGATTTGACCATAACAGAGCATATGAGGATTTTTTTTCCTGAATGCTTGAATTTTCTTAATTTCTAACCCCTTTTTAAATAATCAGTCATATATCTTCCAAATATGTGTGAGGTCATTTGGCCTATTGTGGTGCTAACACTGCCTGAATAGTCACCTTGAATGAATAAAATGACATTGGCTCTAGGATTGCATATTTGTTTACTTATTGTACAAAGAAAGTGGTCAGACAGCTTGTAGCATGTGGCATAAAGAAGAGGTTAAGGACAGAATTTCCTCAATCAAATTAAAACCTGCAATCATTGTTAGCAAATGAGGAGAAGCCTTGATTTCTCCATGCGTCCCAAACCAGTACTTAATTGTAAGCATTTTTCTAAGTGATAATTTTAGTTATAGGCTTATAATTGCATTGCAATCCAGGACATGGTGACTCAGGAGTCTGTCCCCCAAATAAAGGGAACATAACTTTCAGTAGGAAAAGATTGTGCTATAGTGCAAGAATAGAACAAATGGAATATCTTCTAATTGAGTTAAAACATGGAAATGAGGAGACAAAAATCTAATAATTCATCATATATTTACTTATCTTCACTCCTTAGAATGTATTTCATGCAACTTGTTTCATTTTCAGAAATGTATCAATAATCCCACCTGCCAGTTAAAGCAGTCCTTCTAAAGCTTATTTCTGTGGTGTGTGTGTGTGCACGCATGCGCATCTTCAAGTTAGTTTTTGACTCCTGGCAACTACTAGACGATACCCTTCAGTTATCTTGGCAAGGGTTTTCAGAGGACGTTTGCCATTGCCTCTTTCCTAGGACTGAGAAAGGAGGACTGGTCCAAGGTCACCTAACTGGCTTTCATGCCTAAGGCAGGACTACAACTCATGGTCTCCAAGGTTTCTAGTCTGATGCCTTAACCACAAGACCAAGCTGACTCTCAGGGCCATATTTTAATTTAGTTTGTTGATTTATGCCCAAAACATTTTATACTCTACAGGGGAAGAGCGGCAATAAGAGTTTTTTAAAAAGTTTCTTTTGCAGCTTTAATCAGCACACTCTGTGTGTGTGTGTGTGTGTGTGTGTGTGTGTGTGTGTGTGTGTGTGTGTGTGTGTATGCATG